AGTTTAATCCCTGGAACCCTCGTGGTGGACAGAGAGACCCAACTCCCACAGGTTGTCTTTTTAACCTTCAATTTCCAGGAACCTTTTTTTTTAAAAACCGGTGTTCAGCTCACTGGGCACCATCAACCAGCATTATGAAGCCTGTAGCCCCAGTTGCCTCGTGATAACAGCCTGTTTACATCTCTCACTAGCAGCCTTCACTTGTCCTTTTACGTCTGGCTCACCTACCCTGCCTCAGGTGATGTTTCCAGAACCCTGCTCCCTAAGGAGCATCCTTGCCCCTGTTCCTGTTATCTGGGCTGTGCTACAGGAAGCCCACAGGCAGACTTCTGAGGAGTCCACCATGCTAAAACTGCTCCCTTACCGCCTGCCCAGATGGCCTGAGGGGACAGGGGCACACACCAATCAGGAAGTGCCCCGACTCGGTGTCTCCTGCCAGCATCCAGAGGCCAACACCAGGAAGGATAGGAAGGCCGAAGGTCCCCTTGGCCGTGACAGTTGAGCTGAGGTTTCAACACTAATTTGCTACAGTCAGTAGCAGCTTTCAGTAGAAAATACGAGCCCACCCAAGGCAAAAACAGTCTCCAGGAACGTAGCCAGGGTCTTGGGGAGCTACACAACTCTTCCAGGTCCCCACTGAGAGTATGACAGCAGGTCAAATCGCAGTACAAAAAAACCCATCTGCTTTCTCTGCATGCTCCAAGCTGCTCAGAATGGTATGAAGAGAAAAAGGAGCATAGCCAGGTGCCTGACTGCTCCACATCCTGACATCTATGCCCGGCAGGCCTCCTGCAGGAAGGTCCCGCCTACTCACCCCCAGGCCCCATTCCCCAGCCAGGCTGTCCCAAGGATTAATCCCGCCACCACCCTTGTCAACCACCATTCCATCTCTTTGCACTTGGCCTAGACTTGGAATCTAGTCAATAAATATGAAAGAGGGCCCTACTTGGCCCTGGAGACACAGGATGAATCAAGCCTTGTTCCTGTTCTCACAGGGCAATGGGGGCCAGGAAAATACAACCCAGAAGGCCCAGGAGGCCAGCTGTGCCTTAGTAAGCTGGCATTCCGTCCGGGCTAACCTCTGACCCCTTCCTCTCAGTCCCTCCAGCACTGAGCACCCATCCCAGGACTGTGCCACGGTGCCTGGGCCCCATGAAAGCTGGGCCCCAGCTCCTCCTCGAGGATTGTTTACTTCTTTTTCTTCTTCTTCCATTTTCCTGTGTGGGAGTGAGTGATGTGCATGCATTTACACGAATGTTTTCTCGTGTGTGCACTTGCACGTGGAGGCCCAAGGCATCAGCGGAAACCATCCCCAACCACTCTTCTATCTTATTTGTAGAGGCCTGGTCTGTTAATCAAACCCCGAACTTGCCAAGATGGCTAGTGTTGCTAGCCAGTGTCGCTCAGGAGGATCCTGTCTCCACCTTCTGAGGCTGGACTTTCAGGTGGGCCGAAACACCCAACCAGTATTTATGGATTTACTTGCATCTGTGCGATCCAAACTCTGGCAAGAGCTTTGACCACCAAGCCATCTCCCCAGCCCTTCCTGGGTTATCTGTCCCCTTCAGCAGCCTCAGCGGTTCCTTCTTCCTCTTCCCTCCTTCATCTACCCTCCTAGCACACTCAAGTTCCCCAACTCTACCAGCTAAAAAGCCTGGGGTTGACCTAAACTTCTTTGGCTCCCTCTCATCATTCTTGCCTTTTGCTGACCAAGCTCCTGAAAGAAATAATCTATCCAACAGGGTCTTGCTGTGTATCCCTGGCTAGCCTGAAATTCAGGGCAACACTGCCTCTGGGTCCTCATGCTGGGCATTCTGCCCTTCAGCTCACTTGTGTCTTGGGTCTTTGGTCTTTTGTCACATACCTTAAAGGAAGCTGTGTGTGTTGATGTGTCCTTTCAGAGCTTAGAGCACATAAAGCAAGGACTTTATCACTGACCTAAGTCACAGCCTTAAGGACACTTCGTGTTGCAACCATCAATGACCCCTTAATAACCAAGGTCAATGGCTTTCTGGAGTATCTGGTCCTACTCCAACCTTGCAGAAGGACACCTCTGTCACTTTCTCAGTAATCTGATATGCTTATTGAAAAAAAGGAGTCAGCTATATCAGAAATACTACAAAGGAAAGAGAGGGGAATCCCATCACCTCCCCCATTTTCTGGGTTGACACATCTTTTTTTTCTTTTTTTACACTCATTTATTGTGCGTAGGCACACACACACACACACACACACACACACACACACGTGCACGCACACGCATGCGCCACGGCCCTCAAGTGGAGGTCAGAGGAGAGCTTGCAGACGTGAAATCCGCCCCTCCACAGGCACAGCGCAAAAGTGGGGTGGAGCACATGCCCGCAGGCAAAACACCCATACACATGAAATAAAAATAAAGGCTGAGAAAAAGAGAAGTAAACTTTTTTTTTTAATTTTTAAAGAACAAAGTGGGAGGGAGGTGGCTCAGGGGGTAAAGTATTGCTGTGTAGGCATAAAGGCCGGAGTCAGATGCCCAGCAATCATGAGGCAAACACTCTGGTGTGGCAAAAACTGCAGCTTCCGTGCAGGAGACAGAGAGAGACAGATGGTGCTGGCTCACCAGTTAGATGAATCAGTGAGTGGACCCTTCAGATTGAGCAAGACCCTGCCTCAAAAACTGAGGCGGACGACAGGAGCGATGGCTCAGCAGTCAGGAGCACTCACCACTGGTGCAGACTTTCTAGGTTTGATTCTCAGAACCCAAGCAGGTGGCTCACAAACATCTGTAACTCCAGCTCCGTGGGATCCAATGCCTTCTTCTGGCCTCCAAAGATATGAATTAAAAAAGAAAAAAAAAACCCAAAACCTTCGAAAAAATGATTCAGACATCAGACAGGCACGCAGCACACATGCATACACCACACAGCCACCCCCACACAGCCACCTACCCACACACCAAAGTATAGAATGTAGACCACATAACAAGAAAAACAAAACCCAGAATGGCTTTAAATTTCTCATAAAGAACCCCGATTGCTTAGAAGAAAATGCGTCAAAGTTCTCAGGGAAAAGTATTTTTAACCCAGAATTCTATAATAAGCCACACTGACAATTCGCCACAAGAGAGGGGTGGGGGAGCTGGAGAGATGGCTCAGCAGTTAAGGGCATTTGTTGCAGCCAGCAGTTGGTGGCGCACGCCTTTAATCCCAACACTAGGGAGGAAGAGGCCAGCGGATCTCTGTGAGTTTGAGACCAGCCTGGTCGACAGAGGGAATACCAGGACAGGCTCCAAAGCAATACAGAGAAATCCTGTTTCAGGAAAAGAAAAGAAGAAGAAGGAGAAGAAAAAGAAGAAGGAGAAGAAGAAAAGAAAGAACATTTGTTGCTAGCACCTATATCAAGTGACTCCAAGTGCCTGTAACTCCATTTCCAGAGGATCTGACGCCCTCTTCTGGTTTTTGAGTGCAGCTACACAGATTGGTGTACGGATAGGCAAGGGCACACATAAATCTTTTCTTTCTTTCTTTCTTTCTTTCTTTCTTTCTTTCTTTCTTTCTTTCTCTCTCTCTCTCTCTCTCTCTCTCTCTCTCTCTCTCTCTCTCTCTCTCTCTTTCTTTTCTTTTTGGTTTTTTTTTGAGACAGGGTTTCTCTGTGTAGCTTTGGAGCCTATCCTGGCACTTGCTCTGTAGACCAGGCTGGCCTCGAACTTACAGAGATCCACCTGCCTCTGCCTTCGGAGAACTCTGTGAGCATGCTCTACAGAGTTAAGTTCCAGGACAGCCAGAGCTACACAGAGAAACCCTGTCTCAAAAAAACAAAACAAAAAAAGGAAGGAAGGAGAAGGATATACACCAAAACTGGGCAGTGGTGGTGGTGGTGGTGGTGGTGGTGGTGGTGGTGGTGGTGGTGGTGGTGGTGGTGGTGGTGGTGGTGGTGGTGGTGGCACACACCTTTAATCCCAGCATTCAGAGGCAGGTGAATCTCTGAGTTCAAAGCCAACCTGGTCTAAAGAGTGAGTTTCAGGACAGCCAGGGCCTGTCACACACAAGCTGGCCACGGTGGCACACACCTTTCATATAGTGGAGAAGAGAACCAGATCCTACAAGTTATCCTCTGACCTCCACATGCACACTGTGGCATGTATGTATGTGCATACCCACATCCACAACAAATAAAGAAAGTTCTTTAACATTTCTTAAATGTAAACATCACCCTTGTGATTATTATATATATATATTTCCTCCTTCAGTTTTTCAAGGCAGGGTTTCTCTGTGTAACCCTGGATATCCTGGAACTCACTCTGTAGACCAGGCTGGCCTTGAACTCAGAGATCTACCTGCTTCTGCCTCCTGAGTGCTGGGACTAAAAGTGTGTGCCACTACTATCCCGGCTCAGATATTATCATTTCTTTTCATGCTTTTCATCCATGGTTCTGAACATGGATAGATTACAGAAACTGCAATCCTCGGACTTCTCCCTCTCACCCCTGCTCCTGGCTTGAAGCAGCCATAAAGAAATTCTACACCCTGCTGGGTGTTGGTGGTACACACCTTTAACCCCAGCACTCAGGAGGCAGAGGCAGGTGGATCTCTGTGAGTTCGAGATCAGCCTGGTCTACAAAACCTAGTTCCAGGACAGCCTCCAAAGCCACAGAGAACCCCTGTCTCGAAAATTCTACAACCCATCCCTGTGAGATCCCCATGTCCCAGAAGGTGCTGCCCACTGCCTATGATGACAAACGCTACGCTACTGTGTTTTCAGTACCAGGGTTTGGAATCCAGGGCCTCACACTAGGGAAACACTCCACCACTTAGTGACAGCCCACTCAACACCAAATACTAAAGAATCTGAACTGACAGGCCCCGCTGGGTCTCTCCACCCGGTCTATTTGCATAAGATGACAGGCTTTTTGCCCAATCACCTTTGTCCTTAGTTGTCCGTGCTCACATCACGCCTGTGGAATGCATTCTTCATAAAAACCCAATGGGCAGGATCCAGAGAGCTTTTGGACAGCTGGCAGGCAGAGATTCCTGCAGGACAGAACACTCAGAGAGGATAAGGAAACTTTGTACCTGTCTTCTGAACCTCAAGCCATCCATCTCTTCATGTGATTTTTGTAATTTCCTTCATAGTATAATAACAGGTAAGCCTGTTTCCCGGGACGGGACTCTATTACAGCTGGTGAGTAGGTCAGAAGCAAAGATTAAGAAGGGGAGTGGGGGGAGCTGGAGAGATGGCTCCATAGTGAAGAGCACTTGCAGTTCTTTCCGAGGACACAGGTTTGATTCCGAGGACACAGGTTTGATTCCTAGCACCCATAGGATGGCTCACAAGCATCTCTAACTCCAGTTTCAGGGGATCCAATGCCCTCTTCTGGCCTGCTTGGGAACCAGGTGTGCAAGCAAAACACCCATATACATAAAATAAAAATAAATAAATCTTAAAATAAAATAGGAACTGTCCTAGGGCTGACCTTTGGTTTCTGGGACATGATGGTCTCTCAGGTAGACCATTGTATCAGGAATGAACGTACTAAGGACACTTGGTCAGGGTTGCTGCAGAATTCCTGCTCTGTTCTAATTTGCCTCTATGCTGCCATGTTAAAACATTGACCAAAAGCAACCTGGGAAAGAAAGTTAATTTGGGTTTGGCTTCCAGGTCACAGTCCACCACTGAGGGAAGCCAGGCAGAAACCTGGAAACATGAACTAAAGTGGCGAGCAGAGGAGTGAAGGGTGGGAAACAAAGCTAGCTTCTTTGGCTTGCTCAGATTGCTTTTCTTTCTTTTTGTTTTGTTTGTTTGTTTGCTTGCTTTGTTTTGTCCAAAAGGGTTTCTCTGTGCATCCTTAGCTGTCCTGGAAGTCACTATGTAGACTAGGCTGGTCTTGAATCTGCAAAGATCCACTTACTTTTGAGTGCTGGAATTAAAGGCATGCAGCACCACAGCCTGGCTTCAGAGGAGCAGCTGTGTGCACTCCCAACAGTGGTCTGGTGGCACACACCTTTAATCTCAGCACTGGGGTGGGGGGGGCGGCAGAGACAGGTGGATCTCTGTGAGTTAGAGGCCAGCCTGTTCCAGGACAGCCTCCAAAGCTACAAAGAAACCCTGTCTGGAAAAGAAAGAAATAGAGGGGGGGAGGGAGGAAGGGAAGGAAGGAAGGAAGGAAGGAAAGTGTTCCACTGCATTTCCTTGGTGGCGGTGCACATCTTTAATCCCAGCACTCGGGAGGCCGAAGCAGGCAGATCTCTGAGTTTGAGGTCAGCTTGGTCTGTACTGCCTGTTCCAGGACAGCCAATGCTACACAGAGAAACTCAGTCTTGAGAGACAAAAGAAAGAAAAAAAAGACAAGGAAAGAAAAAAGGAAAAATAGAGAGAAAGTGGCTCACAGACAGCCCTACAGGCCAATCTTACATTTTCTCAACTGAGCGCCTCTCTTCCCAGATGAGCCTGGCTTGTAGTGAGTTGACAAAGGACTAACACCATTTGTAATCACAAAGTCTTTTGTGTTCATTGTTGAAGTGAGAGACCAGAGGAAAGTAGCCAAAAGACCACCTAGGCAACTTTCCCTGTCTCCCTCATCCACACTTCCATACTGAGTTTAAGGTCATGAGAACTTGTCTTCAAAAAAAGAAAGAAAGAAAGAAGGAAGGAAGGAAGGAAGGAAGGAAGGAAGGAAAGAGAGAGAGAGAGAGAGAGAGAGAGAGAGAAAGAAAGAAAGAAAGAAAGAAAGAAAGAAAGAAAGAAAGAAAGAAAGAAGTGAGCACATCCTCTGGGGCTCTGGGAGCATGAAGATCAACAACCACAGCCGACAGTTGCTCGGCACTAGAGCTTAGAACTGGCTGTAGAGTGTTTCAGGGGAAGAAGTGTCCTGATCCCCAGGGAGGGCCACCGGGAATTTCACCTTCTGCTGTGGACTCCTTGTTGCTGCTTGCAGCATTTCTATCAAAAGCCGTGTTACTCCGGGGCCTATGCCCTCAGTTTATAGTGTTTTGCACAGACATCTGGATTAGATGGTTTTCTAAGTGGAGCCCTCTGGTATTAGGTACCGAACAGGACACAGGGGATCCAGACTGAGGGCCAGGGGTGGGTTGCCAGAGACAAAGAAAAGGAAGGGCCAGGGCAGATGTTCCGGGAAATCGGTGACTGCTTGGCATAGGAACAGGGGAGCTGGGTGATTTGGGGAGGTACAGAATCACGCCATATAGCCTGGTCAGAGAGAAGATGGCCAGTTGGTTTGGAAAAGTTAGTGTGAGTCGTGGAGTATGTGTACTGCCCTGAGCAGCCTGGCACCATGCACCTTCTTTGACCTGTTTCTGTGCTCAACTTCCCCTTTGGCCCTGAGCTGTCAGTCTGAGCATCCTGCTGTTCAATGTGGTGTTATCTTGCTTGTACAAATAAAGCCTGTCTGGAGGTCAGAGAATGGAGCTTGCCACTAGCTAACCATAGAGGTCTGGAGGTTTGCACAGACAGACAAGAAGGATATGGCTGGGTGGAGACAGGATATAAGTGGACAGAAACAGGACCTCGATCTCGGGTCTGCTGAGACACTAAGGAGGTAAGGTGTGTCTGTGGCTTGCTCCTTCTTCTCTCCGATCTCTCAGCATGTTCTTCTATTGTCTAACTCCAGGCTTTATTAATTAGACCAATTAAGAACTCCATTCACACTCGGGAGGCAGAGGCAGGCGGATCTTTGTGAGTTTGAGACCAGCCTGGTCTACAAGAGCTAGTTCCAGGACAGCCTCCAAAGCCACAGAGAAACCCTGTCTCGAAAAACCAAAAAAAAAAAAAAAAAAAAAAAAAAAGAACTCCATTCACATTTTGGCACCCCAAGTTGGGTACCACATGTAGATGAATGTTTCTGTCCTGCTCAGCCCTGCGGCTGTTTAGTCCCAAATAAACACACAGAGGGTAATATTAATTATAAATTGTTTGGCCCATGGCTCAGACTTCTTATTGGCTAGCTCTCTCTTAATTATTAACCCATATCTATTTATCTATGTATCTTCATGTGGTCTTGGCTTACTGAAGAATGCCCAGGTGTCCTACCTTCCTGGTAGCTACAAGGTGTCTCTCATGACTCACTCTCTGTGTTCCTCTTCTCATAATTCTCTTAGTCTGCTAGCCCCACCTATACTTCTTGCATGGCTACATCCTGCCTGTCTATTGGCTGAAACAGCTATATTCATCAACCAATAAGAGAAACATATATTCACAGTATACAGAAGGGTATCCCCCAACAGTTCAAGGTACAGATATCCATGGTACTTTACCTACAATACCTTCCTTCTCAGGCTCTGCCAGGTCCTGGTCACAAGCGGCTCTGATGAGGCTTCTCCCTCCTTCCCACCCAGTTGGCTCACAGGCTGCTTCCTCATTCTGAACACACCCTTCCGTATATTTGCTTATATGGCTGCTGCAAATATGGAAGGCAGGTGTGCCATGAATTACCCTTTATATGCTTTCTTGTAAAGGAGAAGGACTGGGTACCACATTTTGCTCTAGACAGTCACACTTCCTGGATGCTATCTTGTAGACCATTCCAGAGGGATGCAGGCAATGTAAGGGGGATTGGTACTGGGACTGTGAGGGCATCACAAGTAGAGAAGATAAGGACCAGTTCAGCCAACTGTCTAAAGCCACTCCTGGCCCACAGGCTCAGCACAAGGATTCCTCTTAGAGAGAGAAACTTTTCTTGCAATCTGGGTGCCTTGATTTTATTTTGTTTTTGAGTTAGGGTCTTACATAATGCAGACCAAACTCAAATTCAGTATGTAGCTGGAGCTGGCCTTGAACTTGGAATCTTCCTAACTCGACTTCCTGAGGGCTGGGGAGACAGTGTGTATCACCACACCCAACACTGAGTATGGTAAAACAACTAAAATTTACTTTGCGCAGTTCCTAAGGCCAGAAAGGCAATGTCTCCTACGTGAGAATCTGTCATCGCCCCTCCAGCCCTTAGACACCCCAGGCAGCGAATGGCAGTATCACTCCCATGTCAGCTGTTCCCACCTTTCTCTTGCTTCGTCTCCTCTTCTGCCCCTTGTATCTGCACATGCCTCCAGGTTCACTGTGTCACACGAGCACTCAGCACACTCAGGGCCCACCAGAGTGACCCCGCAGGAAAGATGATCTTGTGCTAAATCCCCAATTAATTATGTCTGCAAAGATGTTCAAATAACGTCACCTTCATGAATTGGGTGACATATATCTTTTAGAAGGTTGACAGTTGCTGTGCTATAACTTCTGAGTGTGCCACGGACGTAGATGTATTTGAGATAGAAAAACAATTTGTCTTATTAAATTTCAGGTTTACTTATTATTATTGGTGTGTAGTCAAATGCCACAGTGTGTGTGTGTGTGTGTGTGTGTGTGTGTGTGTGTGTGTGTGTGTGTGTGTGTAGGGTCAGAGGACAACTGTTAAGAGGTCTTTTCTCCATCCATTGTAGTTGTGGATATTGAACCCCAGTCCATAAACTTGAGTGACAAATGCCTTTACTGGATCCACTGAGCCATCTCTCCAGCTCAATAAACAATCTCTGTTAATGGGAAACATAAACAATATTGGTTAAAAAAAATTAGATGGAACACTGGAGTGGAAAAACCACCACCAAGAAGCAGCTGTTTAAAAGAGAGAAAGAAAGAAGGGGGGGGCCAGTTCTAGCAAACATTAATCTGATTGTTTCTGTCCCAGCTGTCGAAGCCACACAGAAGGCTCTGTGCAGACTGTGGTCTTATTGTCTGTCCCCTGGAGAGCTTCTGAGACCCAGTGATGTTGAGTTCCTAGGACACGAGAACATTGTGACATTTTGCCAAATTTTTCCAGTCTAAAAAAAAAGAAAAAGAAAAGATTCTTTTGCTGGAGAAATTCTGTGATAGCTGCTAATGAAGGGAGAGACTGGACAAGGAAGAGGAAGACACAGCGCCACACACAAGTCACCAGGCCAGCCCCGACTCTCTCGGGAGCACGTTCCCAAGATGAAACGAGGCTTTGCTCTTCCCAAGCCCCTCTCCCCCCAACACCATTTTCTTTTTTTGTTTCCTGCTCTGGCTTCTGCCATTCTGTCTAGAATTGAGGCACTGAAAGGCTAATGTGGTGGGGTTTGTTTTTCGTTTTTTGTTTTTTGTTTTTTTGTTTTTTTGTTTTTGAGGAGGGGGAGATGTTGGGACAGGGTTTCATTCTGTAGCCCAGGTTGGCCTTCAACCCATGGAGATCTTCCAGTTGCAGCTCCCTGAATGCTGGGTACTGGTGTAAGCCACCATATCTGGCCTAATGGGTTTTTGTGTTGCTAACAATTCTATGTTCAGTTGACATCTGAAATTTACCTGCAGAAAAAAAATTGGAAATTGAAGCAGGAGGATTAGGAGTTCAAAACCATCCTCAGAGCATAACATGGTAGAGTTTATTTGTTATCCCAGCACTCAGACACTGGAGGGAGGGTCAGGAGCTGGGGCTATAGAGATTTCAAGACCAGCCTGGGTGGGAGACCTAGACTTAAAATAAATAAATAAACCAAGAAACAAATACAACAAGCCCAGCATAGTGGTACACACCTTTGATCCCAGCACTCAAGAGGCAGAAGCAGACAGATCTCTGTGAGTTTGAGGACAGACTGGTCTACAGAGCGATTTCCAGGACAGTCAAGGCTACACAGAAAAACCCTGCCTCCAAAAACCAAATAATTAAAATTAAAACAAAGTAAAAGTTTCAGAGAAATATTCCTAAGAACCCACTCCTAGATCCTAAAGGAGTGAGACCAGACCATTTTCACCTATTGTAATATAACCTAGTACTGACTCAGCCAAAGATGCTTTCCCTGACCTCATTTTGAAATGAAAGTCAGAATGATGAAATTTACGACCATGGCTGGGCGTTGGTGGCACACACCTTTAATCCCAGCATGCGGGAGGCAGAGGCAGGTGGATCCCTGTGAGTTCGAGGCCAGCCTGGTCTACAGAGTGAGTTCCAGGACAGCCTCCAAAACAATACAGAGAAACCCTGTCTCGAAAAACCAAAAAAAAAAAAAAAATTTACTACCATGTGCCAAATTGTTTACCATTTTTATCACTAGAGGTAGTTGTTGGACACTGTATGTGCTAGTGTCTGTTGTTATTACAAAGTGCCTGAGCCTGGGTAGACGACACTTTCTAAAGAGCTTTATTAGGCCTACTATTCTGGTAGCTGAAGGATCTAAACAGCAAGCCAGAGTCCTGGTGAGGACCTCCTTAACCAATAACAGCATAGCAAAAGTAGAAGACAGAGGAGATGACCTCCCTTTCTAAGACCTCACTCTTGTTTTGATAACTAACCTAGTCCCAAGAGATCCAACTTACTCCCTTGAAGAGGAGTATAAATTTTCTCCAGAAGATGTATCTCCATGGTCTAGAACACCAGTCACCAGGCCTCACGAATTCTGCCACCTCTTTCTTTGAGTCAGTATCATGTAGATAAAGCTAGCCTTAAACTTCTGTTCCTCCTGCCTCCACCACCACCCTGAAAGCTGAAGTTGCAAGCATTCAACAGCACACCTGTTTTACGCAGTGTTGGGGCTCGAGCCCAGGACTTTGGGAACACTAGGCAAAAGTTATACTCAGCTACATTAGTATACTATGTAGTATATTGGTTATACTAACTGAGCTACACTGGCAGCCTGCACCCTTGTATCCATGTAACACTGATAGCCTTTTCTTGGTGTACATTGTTACATAAATGAAAGCAATGTCATTAATGACTTCACTTGCAGACTGCACAACGTCAGAGGTGGAGTTCATCTTTCTATTTCTCATTCATTGTTCAACATCGCAGATACTCTGAAGGCTCTTAATAAATCGGTCCAGTATTTACTTAATAAATCGCTCACAGTCTGAAGGAGGAAGAACCTGGGATTAGACCCCTGCTGCTAGCCTAACCTCCACCACATCCCCCACCCCACAGACCCCAGCCTGACCCTTCTCTCAAACACACTACTTCTAGACAGTCTCCATCAACACCTGACACAGGCGTTTGCTACCACTTACTTCAAATGATTGACAGGGGCCTCTTTGTTAATAAGCACTTAGAATTACAGAGAGAAATCAAGACAAGCTGTTGTCTTTCATCTAAGTAGAAGGCAAGTTAATTATGGCTATGAAAGAGGTTAGGGACAAATTGAACTGTGTCTACCAGTCTGTCTTTAAAACTAGGGTAACTGCCCCAAGGGCAAATGCCGATGGTAGGTCTCTATAATCTCAGGGCCCATTTGAATTGGTTCCTGTCTGCACAGCATGAAGTCTGTCCTCTGGATCATCCAGTCTGGCTGGGTATGACCACCACTTCATAATCAAGGTTAGGGTTAGTACTCTGCAGGTCTCTCCAATTAGGCCCATCCTAATTCAGACACAGGCTCATGAGAAAGAAAACCTAAGCCTCCCTCAGATGGGAGGGGGTATGGGCAGAAGAATTTTCCACTGAAGCTCATACAGTGTGCTGGGCTGGGAAATTGGCACAGCCTTTAAGGGCAGTTACTGCTCTTGCAGAACACCGGAGTTCAGTTCCCAACACCCATGTTGGGTTGCTCACAACCCACCTGCTCAAGCTCCAAGGGATTCCATGCCCTCTTCTGGCTTCTTTGGGCACCTACACACACACACACACACACACACACACACACACACACACACACACACACACACACACACTTCTCTCTCTCTCGTAAAATTAATACAAATAAAGCATGTATATTAAGGCTGGGGATGTAGCTCAGTTGGTAGAGTAAAGAGCCGTAAGTTCAATATCCAGCACCCCATAAATCAGGCATAATGCTGCAGACCTATAACCTCAGCACTGGACAGGAGAAACAGGAAGATCAGAATTCAAGGTCATCCTTAGCTACATCACAGATTTGAGGCTAGCCTGAGCCATATAAAGACCCTGTCTTAAAACAATAAAAACAAAATACCTCATATAGTAGAATTAACCAGGCAGAAAAGGACTGTGGAGGGGAACAAGGGAGCAGAGGACAGCATCTGGAGAGTCACCTCATGGGTACCCAACTTTCTGAGTCTCTGAGGACCAGACTTGCTGCTTTCTTACCTAGCAACCAAGCAACCAGTCTGACCAATCAGAGAAACAACCTGAAAAAAATGAACCAAAGATGCAAAAACTGAGTTTTCCACACGGGCATGTGACCTGATGTTTGTTGCTAGGATTTAGAACTATGACCTCTATGAAGACCAGGCAACAGGCTGCAGCCATGGAAAAAAGAGAGAGAGGCCGTCTCGATTCCCCCGGGCTAGTAAGCAAGAACAAAACATGATTTGTTCCGGAAGGAAGTCATGACTAAAACAGTTTGCTATCTGGGCAAAGTCCCTTTGCAACAACTGCTAGGCACCCATCCCCCTCAAGTCCCAGGAGTTCTTGCTTTTATCTTGAGACTCCCCCTGCTGATGGTGCGTTGGTGAGACACGAGAGGGCAGAAGGGACCCATAGCGAGAGACCACACACTCGAAACAAGGAACAGAATGGTCAAAAACATAAAGCGCCCACCATCGCTCAACCGAGCGTAGGCACAGAATTCAGAGGCCAGTGTGGGTTGCAAATCATAACAGTGTTTAATGTTATATAATGTATTGAATTAAGAAGAAGTTTTTTTTTTTTTTTTTTTGGTTTTTTGAGACAGGGTTTCTCTGTGGCTTTAGAGGCTGTCCTGGAACTCGCTCTGTAGACCAGGCTGGCCTCGAACTCACAGAGATCCGCCTGCCTCTGCCTCCCAAGTGCTGGGATTAAAGGCGTGTGCCACCAACGCCCGGCGAATTAAGAAGAGTTTCAAAATTGCATTTATTTATTTTGTATGATTGTGGAGGTCAGAGAACAACTGTAGAGATCAGTTCTTTCCTTCCAACCATGTGGGTGCTGGAAATTGAACTTAGGTAATCAGGTTTGGTAGCAAGTACCTTTATCTACTGTGGATCTATTTTACTAGTCCCTGAAGAGGTTTGAAAAGAAAATTAGATGTTTGTTTGTTGAAACAGGGTTTCTCTGAGTAGCCCGGGCTGTCCAAGAATTTGCACTGTAGACCAGGCTGGCCTCAAAGTCACAGAGATTCACCTCCCTCTGCCTCCCGAGTGCTGGGATTAAAGGTGAGCAGCATAACACTCTGCTTAGCATGAACTTTTAAACTTTATCAAACTTTACCTTTTTTAAATTTATTTTTACTTCATGTGCACTCGTTCTATGTCTGTTTAAAGGTGTTGGTTCACCTGAAACTGGAGCCACAGATGGTTATGAACTTCCTGGAGCTGCAAATAGCTATGAACTTCCATATGGTGCTGGGAATTGAACTCAGGAGCTGTGGAGGAACAGCCAGTGCTCTTATCCGCTGAGCCATTTCTCCAGTTTTCAACTTTAATTTAACTAAGTAGCCTTAGCAACTACAAAGAGCCTTCTACCCTTGCTGTTGGAATTTTTTGGGTATAAGCCTAGGCCCTGGCAGAGCCCCCAAATGAGATCACCCACCTAGCCTCACTTTACCAATTAAAGACACAAGAAATAATGAAGTATAGGAAAAGAGGTTTATTCCATATGACAACACTGGGAAGAGAGCAAATAAACAGGTTCAGTGCCTACCCCCTCTCAAGTCCATGTTTCTGATACTGACAGTTTTAAACTGAAGGCAAGAAGTATATGCACGCATAATTAAACAGTCCTAACCAGGGCGGTCCCTCTCTCTCATTAGTGACTCATCAATGTCTGGGCTCCAGTGTGTCTCCAAGGTGGTCTGATAAGTTATCAGAAGCTCCTCCCAGGAGACAGGATCATCATCCAGATGAGACCAGGCCTTCAGTCTTTCCTTTCCCCCAGCTGGGGATCCCTGGGGACATTTTAATTCTTTGGAGTTCTTTTTTACACTAGTTTGATAGCCAAAGAGAGGGGAACAAATATCTCTTTAGTGCAGTGGTTCTCAATCTTTCTAATGCTGTGACCCTTTAATACAGTTCCTCATCTATGGTGACCCCCAACCGTGAAATTATTTTCATTGCTACTTCATAACTGTAATTTTGCTACTGTTATAAATCGAATGTAAATATCTGATACGCAGGATATCTGATCTGTGACCCCTGTGAAAGGGTTGGCAGCCCACAGGTTGAGTATCTCCTCTCTTGACATTAGTTTCAGTTGGATGGCTTCCAAGCTTAAACCACTGAGTTGAAGACAATGCCTTCTTTATTGCCTTCACCATGTTCAAGCACAATGTGGAATTTTACTCTTGCCATAAATATGCTTTTGGTATCTGATTTTCCTAATGCCTGTGGGCAAGCTGCTGAGTCACTCAATGAATTGATTCAGTGGCCTCATTGGCAATGGGGGACCAAAATTCAAAAGCAGCCTAGGGAACACGATGCCATGAACCTCCTCACCCTGATATTTACCCAAATTAGAAACAAATCATTTCAAATAATGAAGCTGAGTATATTCAGATGCCCAAGAAGGCAGAAGCTAATTCTTTGGCGTTTTCCCTAAGTTTACTTACTGAACATTCAGAAGGA